GTTTTGTAGCATACTTTGATAGCAAGGTTATGGTTTTCTATACAAAAGACCTTTATAATAATACAATCATAGCCTTGTTGTTAAATTTTCTGTTTTATGACCCAGGAGTTAGAGATTTATCTCTGTTGTTTGCCACTGGGGCCTCTAATTTGCTTGATAATTTTTCTGTTTGGAATATTAAGTATATTATTAGGATAGGACACACTATTGTTAGTTTTATAGAGGTATTTTTGTATCTCTAGCTTGAATTTTCTTTTAGTCCGTGGTCATAAAAAAGCACAGTCAGGTGTTATGGCTTACTTATTGGTTTTCGACAGGACAAAAACATACTAACAACAATGTTCATCAAGGATCTATGAGTTTCAACGACTGCGAAGAGTAGATGTACGCACTTCTTAACAATTTGAATTACATATTAGCATATAGGGCTTTAGGTAAACTATGCATACTGTAAACTGTGAATTGATGCTGGGTCATCATATTTAAGGCCTAGGATTTTCTCAATGTTCATGAAATATTTATAAAACTTTATATGTAAGTTAATTACATTAAAATCTCTGAAGATAAACCAGATTTGATGAAATCTTACATGTTGTACTTTTTTTACCCAATATAGGTTGCACTTTTGGTTGCACTTTTGAAAATATAGACAATGCAATTGCACATAGAAACTCCTTTTACGGCTTAAACTGCGCCACTTTAGCTATGAACTTTCGTATAAGAATATATCCTAGAATGGAAAGTTCATATGCATTACAGATAAAAACATAGGGCTGTTCTGCATATTTTCAACATGTATATGCCTCGAACTTCTAAGTGTTAAACTTATACTAAAATTCTGTACTACCCCTCCCTTCACTTTGGGACTTCCTCAAAACAAAATTTATAATGTACAATAATTGTGGTAATTATGTTAGACTGAAACTAATTGAAAGTATGTGTTGAAATTCAAAAACAAAATAAGATGCGAGTCAAAATTGTAAATTTGTCCTTTATGTGCAAGTTGCCTAAGAATTCCATCTCTGTTTTTAGAGTGTTAATGTATATAGACTTGAGCAGTCATGCAATATTCTGTTTATCATATATGCAACTTTTTCTCCTTATGTTTGATAAGAAAAACAATCGATTAATTCAAATAAAAATCTGTGAATAGATTTGTTCTGGGATTAGATTTTTAATTGTTTTTATTGGTTAATGCTATGCACGTGTAAGGGCTGCAAATGTGTGTTTGAGATTCGAGTAAGTTTGTTAATAAAGGCCAATCTACTTCGCCCAGTTGATTTTACATTTGAAAGATGCAAGATATCGGTTTCCGATATCCTTTTCCGGGTTGCTATAGCCGTTAAAAAAAATATTTTTTCTAATTTCTTTTGTTTTGTTTTGCTCATAATTTTGAATGACATACATGACTGATTATATGTTATCTGCTTTTAAAATAGTGATAAAAGTAATCCCAACGTTTGTATGATTGTTAGATAAATGAATCAAACATATAATAGAGCAACCAATCTATTGAACCGATAAACTTACAATCTTGGACATACATGTACAGATTGCATTGTAGATTTCGTGTAAATAATGAAATGGCAAATTATAAATTTTACAGTATATTTTAGTCAAAATCCCATATTTCCTTTTTATCACTCAAAAACAATTTCTTAATACTTTTAGTAAAACCAATTTAGGAATATGACAGTTGTTTTTCATTCAGTCCGTTGGTTGATAAAGTCTAACGTTAGATTTTGTCTGGTTTTATGACTGACCCCTTTTTGAATTTACATTGATGATGGGTATTTTTGTTAATACTTTTCTACTAAGTTTTATTCCCATTTCTTAGGGCATTACTTGAAATTGCTCAACTGATATTTTGAATAAAAGTAAGTAAACACTAAAAGTGTAAGTAAACACAATTACTTATATTCATAAAAGTATCTTAATTTACTTCTAAAAACTAAGTACTTTGGATTACTAGGAAAACTTCTAATTATAAATTAGAGAATGCTAGATAATATTCTATCTTGATTTTGCTGAGCTGAAAATAACAATTACTATTGAGGCAACCGTACGTCCTTCAACAATGAGAAAAACCATACCGTATAGTCGACTATCAAGGGCCCCGACATGAAAAATGTGAAACAATTCAATTAAGAAAACTAACGGCATAACATGGATTGATAAAATGGAAATAATGTGGTAAATACATATTCCGACTTATTAATGAACACTATGTTTTATTTTATGTATAGCTTACAGTTACAAAATAGAACAAAAGAAAAGGAAAAGAAAGGAAAAAGTCAGACAAAGAAAAATGATCCTAGTTTTGAAAAGAAAACAGAAATTTGAAGATGTCAAAGTTAGAAACTTATACAACATTTTTACTTACTGGAAATTTATTTCTTATCATTGAAGCTCAAAAGAAAACAATTCAAATATATCAAAGTTTTTTGGCAAATAAGGCCGATATTAGTTTGCATAAAAAAAAAACATTTGCTAAAAAATCGTTGTAACCAATGCTACCTTTATGCCATTTTATTTTCAAAACTAATTTCATTTGAACCAATAAAAACTTACATACAACTGTGTCAATTTCACATATTAATTGATATTCTTATCAAATATATTTAATAACCGGATGACTTCTCTCTTCTTTTAATCGATAACCCATTCAGAGGAAAGGTTGAGCGCCCACAAACATATTAAACCCAGCCTACTTTTAATGCGCCTGTCCCAAATCAGAAACCTTTAATTCATTGGACGTCCAAGGGTGACTGGGAATAGAAATATGGTCACGTATGTCTTCTTCTGACCGGCAATAAAACCCTTCTAACGTTGGACGTCCGTTTGGCTGTGCGTGATGTACAAATACGCAACCACTTCTGGTCAGAATTGGGACGTCAAATCTGATGCCTCGTTTAGAGAGAGTGTCACGCTCTCTGCACGTTGAGAACCCTTGCAACAACTCATTGAGGGGTCCGCAGATGGCGTGTTGCAAGTCAAAATGTTTGTTCCTATTCAAAATACTCCTTTCCCAGTGGCAGTCCAAAGTTCCCCCGACCTTCATCCCGGACGGTCTCTTACAGGACTTACCTATTGTATTTATTGTAAATGTGTCCTCTTCCGGAACATGCATAGAACATTTGGCACTGAACGTTAAGTAACCAACAATTAGTCAATCGTGTAATTCCTTGGTTGCTGTCTGTCATATATTGTTTTGTCATAAATCAGGCCGTTGGTTAATTCGTTTCATTGTTTTGTATCAATAAATATCTGGCATTTTTAAAATCAGTACGGTGGATTATAGATACTCACCTTCAGGTAATTTGAACTTTGGTTTTCTGATTGGCAACCATACCATATCATTGTATTTTTATATTTAAATTGGGCTGCGGTTGTTTTTGTAATCAGACTTTTTATTTTTTTTGTTGATTTGGTTTTCTGTAAAAGGCTTAATTAGCACTCAAAAAAAACGTACATTTCTTGTCCGCAAATAACCCTAGCAGAACAAGACTTCACATTGCATCTCCATTATATTTCCCAATGAATGTCTGACTACTATCTGCTAGAATGAAAATATGTTTCATAATGATCTCAATTATAGATATCCATTGAAATGTGCATGACTGGTTTATTACTGATTATTTATTTTTTGGTATGTTTACTTAATTTGAATGTTCAGATAAATATAAAGTCGAATAAAACTTATGGTATACGTTACCACTACATGATATGCAGGTTCATGACATACAGGTCATTATATACAGTTTTCTCGTTTGATTGTTTTACATTTGTCATTTCGGGGCCTTTTATATGCTGACTTTTATTATTTTGTATGGATTTTGCTCAATATTGACGGCCGTACGGTGACTTATAGTTGTTAACTTCTATTTCATTTGGCCTCCGGTGGAGAGCTGTCTCATTTGCAATCTTACCACATCTTCCTATTTTTATACATTTGTTGTAATTGGATTCCGTTTGTTGGCTTAACAAATATTAGTAAAACAAACAGTGGCACAATTTAAACATTTTTTAGAACAGTAATTAGCGCAAACTTATCTCGGCCGCAAAAGATCTTTTTTACTGGATAGTCAAAATCAACCGAGAAAGTCCAATGCAGTTATAGTGCAGTCTTCAATAAAAACAACACTTTATATTAGTTTCGTGCGCCCGAAGCGCTTTTCTGGATAAACCTTCGTCAAGAACGCTCAAACTTAAACATTTAGAAGCCAGGGATGTGTATAAAAGTAGAAACGTTAGGAGCTATACAACCAAAAGGGCCCTAAAAAGAATAGCCAAATTAATCCAAGGTCAACTTTGCCTGAAGGAGTTTGAAACTTAATTCTTAATTAATTTCTTAATTTACCAACGGGAAATTATAGAAAATATGTCAAAAATCATGTCAGTAGCAAAGCACTGATTTACAAGCTGATGATACCCCAAGGGACTAACAGATAATCTTATTGTGTAAATTTATGATTGCGTGTAGAAATGGGTAATAAAAATTCCAAGCGTGTCACTAGAAATAACAATCTTAAAACTTGTGTTGCCCCTTATTTATTTTAGTTTTTCGATTTTTTGAAACCTATTTTCAACACCTTTTTAATTGAGAAATGAAATCTCAAAAATGTATGACCAAAACCTCTCGGTTGCACTTGCTCATTGTTCATATATAGCTATAGTACTGCTGGGCGTGTTTTAACCTTGGAACTAAACAAGAAACAGCCAAGAAAGTTGTTTGCCATAGACCCGAAATATTTTTCAGTTCTTCAATTTGTGGATGCAATTGAGAACTTTGCCAGTATATGTAAGAGCTCTAGCCAAATAAACTTAACGTGTACGCATTATATCATACCCTTTTAAATTCGACGTTGAGAAATGTAACAACTATCGTAAATTGTTTTAAAAATATAACTATGATAAATTTAAAAAGTATGGTTTCAACTCATTCATTCAACAGTTTTTCTATTAACGAGATCTGAGCAGTAAAAAGGTATAAAAGTAAGTTTCACAGAAGTTGAAAATATACGCTGCAGGAGGTCAACATGCGATAGCCTCAAAAGGGCCTAAGTGCTGAAACCACTTCACATGTTCAAATTCAGAGAAAACAAGTCTGCATCATAACAATACACACAAAACGTTGCAATCGACATAATACTATCCTCCCATATACACAATCGCTGGGATTTATGCATTTTTTAAAAATATTCCGTTTGTATCTTGTTCATCTCCTTTACTTCAATAACGAGATCAACCGTTTTGTGCTTCAGCATTTAAGGTTTTAATTATCCATGTTGTTTCCTGATCTCGATAATTATTCAAGAAACATTTGTTATACGCACAATAAACAGCATTAAACAATTATATATTTTATTATCAGTGTAGATATTTTCAGATGAATTTGTGTTCTGTTGGCTCCATGGTTCAGAACAGAATTATCCAGCCCTGAAATGATCATACCACATCTTCTTATATCCATTACCTGAAATGATAAAATTGTATTTTGGTTATATCCGTATTAGCATTCACGGTACGCATTTCGACAAAAAGGCTTCTGCGGTGTTGGTTGACGCCAAATATTATACATCAAACAATTGAAATGAAGAGGTGATAAAACCAAGAAGGACCGAAAGTATATAAACTTCAGTGAATATGAACTTATAAAATATCTAGCATTCATTTTTGAAACTGTACCTAAAAATCAATCAATTTGTTAGAATGTATTATCGAAATATTAAACATGCATAACTGGTCTTTCAAAATTATTTTAATTTACGAACTATATGGAAAACGCATGGCATCAATGTATTATCATCATTGATTTTTACATAAATATGTAGTTTGGCTATTCTCCCACATGTCTATTCCAAAGCATCCTAAAAACATTATATAAGACTAGGAAAATCTCAAAATTTGGAAAACATATATCACGGTTTCATTCAGAGGAATTCGCGAAATGTGAATTGTGTTGATCGAAACTGATTACCTTGAAATACAGGCAATGTCATTTTGAAGAGCCTTAATTGTATTTTTCATTTCTACACAACATTTTAAGTATCCCATTCAGCTATAAATTAATGGAGATAAAGGTGATATAGAATATACATCGATGAGACAAAAATAATCTATAGGTAAAAACTTATAGTCTTCAAAAGGTGTCTATGATTATACTTTTAATAACGACGACTATGTGAATTATTTTAACCGAGAATAATGAAGATTTTAAATCAATTTCAAATTCCTAAAAGAACCACCGGAAGATAGGACAAGAGGCAACCACATATGAATAAGATGTTTTCAAAACACCATGATTTTAGAGTCTATTTTCGGTTCGTTTTCTGAACAAGAAAAGGAACTGACACACTATATTGAAATAAGGAGATGTGATATGATTGAATGTCTGATTGGAAGTAATTTTTGAAATAGGGATCGTGCCACTTATCCTACATTTTCTGTCTACTGTTGAATTGACTGTACACTAGATATCACTATTCTGTTTAGACCTCCTCATTAATTCTCTTCTATATCGATTTATACATACATATGTTTTGTACATTCACGTGTGTTTACATATCTTGAGCATAATTTTGACCTATTCTAACAAGAGTGACACATTATGAACCTAATTCAAGAAACGTGTGTTGTTTTAAAAAAATCATATCATTTGGTTGATAAACTTAAACTAACGTGCAGCATTTCCATCCACAGCACTCTCCAATACTTTCTAAATGTGTGGCGGAACAATCCTCCATACAATTGCCATCACAATTTATTACACCTGTAAAATTATCAAACATGTTAGATGGGTTTGAATATATCAAAAGGAAGATATGGTTTGATTGCCAATGAGACAACTCTCTAAAAGAGACCAAATGACATAGAAGTTTACAATTATATGTCATCGTACGGTCTTAAACAATGTACAAAACCCTAACCACATAGTCAGCTATAAAAGGCCCCGAAAGGACAAATTAAAAACTATTCAAATGTGAAAACTAACGACCTGATTTATGTACAAAACAATGAACGAAAAACAAATATGATATACAGCAACAAACGATAATCAAACAGGCTGCTGACTTGGGAATGTCAAAATGTGGCGAGGGTACACTAGTTAATTGGCGCCAAACTCTGCTCCTAACCATGGACAGTGGTGTAACATTACAACAAGAGAACAAATTGTAAAACTCAGTTGAAAGGGCGTAACTAATCAGATCGATACAAAGCATACAAATAAAAACATGAAAAAAAGAAACATTCTTTTTGTGATAATAACATAGGATCAGGGACGACCAGAGGTCTCTTTTGTGACGTTTAGAGAAGGTGAAGACGTACCAACCAAGTTAAAGATAAACCATTTACGATAAACATTTAATTTTCTAAAGTATTCCTTGATTTTGTTTTATCAAAGTATATATATATATATTGAAAATATGAATTTCCCATACTATGCTCTTAAACATATAAAAACTGTTGAAAAATTTCGAATGAAAAAGCAATCTTTACAATTGAATCCTTTCATAGCAAAAGCGCCTTTGTATTGTAAAGATAAATTTATTAATGAAGAATCATTTTTTTCTGTCAGTTTTAAATTGAAAAAAAGATAAGAAAGTAGGTATTTATCCACGAATTCTACAAAGCTGTTTTAAATCAAAATACATCAAGAATTTCAAATGAAAAGTTAAACAAAGTAAATACTTGAATACAACATTTCTTTTGGGATAAACGTAAATGCGACAACAACTCAATGACACACATAAACATTTGTCCTTCTCGTTTAATCAATTATTCAAAGTTTTTAATAGGTTTTTTGATTTTTGTCAAATATTTTGGTATCGAGTATCACTGATGAGATTTTATTTATCGATATGTCTATCTGAAACATTAACATTTGCACCGTTTATTTTATTGCATGCAGTGATTACTTATCAGACATATTTAATACTGTTTAGCGATCTTCTAACTAAGTGCAGTTGTTGATTTTGTGCTATGAAGTGTGTAGGATTTAACAATTCTAAGAATATACCTATTTATGCTTTTTACTGACTATCTGATTGGTAAAAAAAATTACAGTTAATAACGATATTTTGGCGATACAACTTGTCCATGACTTTCCAATTTAGATGTATTTCATCTGTTTTCTGAATTATAAAATTTCTAGATTTGACCTTTTTGATGACTTTATAATCTCTAGGAATGAATATTGTTTAAACATGTTGAAAATTGTTCTATCTGTGTCTTGTCTATAGAAGTTCTGATTTGAATACTTTGATGGTCAACGGTTAAAATGAATTGTTGTTCATTTTTGTTTATCCACCTCCTTGTCTGTTGCATCAGAGGAAAATTGTTTTATTAATTAGGTTCGATCAGTACACCATTGGCTTGAATATTTTTCGTCTTTGCAAGTGTTATTGTTTATTGAAGTTTGAATTATCCAAGACTGTCTTATCTGTAAACATTCGTGTTTTGTAGCGCTAAGTTCATTCTATGGTTGACAGCTATGAAGTATTTATTTCAAAGGTGATGACGAATATGTACTAATTGTTGTAACACAAGCCCGTCTTTTTTTATTTGGATGCGACATCACAGAATTTGTACTTACATGAGCAACAAGACGGATGCCATATGTGGGTAGGACTTGCCTACCCTCCTAGAGTACATGATATCACCAAGTATTTGGTGGGGTAGGTGGCGCTCTGTTTATAGTTTCTATGCTTTCTTTTGTATTTTGGTCGATTCTGGCTTTTTACCATGGAGTTGTTAGTTTGTCTTCGACTATTGAGTTTGAGTTTGAATATATCTTTGAGTATCTTTCGCCTCTCTCTGATATGCTTTTTGAACCGTTAAATACTTTTTCAGATTTTTCGGTGTATTGCTGTTAAAAGATTTTAAGAAATCCAAACTTTCGTATGTTTACTTTTTTGCTGTGCGTTTACTTTCTTCATAGATTATTGATATTTTGAATTTAATTATGTATTAATATTTTTAAATCTATTAGACTAAAAACTAATGAACTGTCCCTTGGAGACTTTTATATTATCTGTGAATACTTACATTGTGTGGTAGTAGGAGGTGTACAACAAAACCTGTTGCCACAACAATCGCTTTTTTCTTTTTTTCCATCACAGGTTTCACCTTCACTCATACATGTAGAACCATCAGGACATGTGTCTAGGAAAAAAATGATGAGTGATTACAGATTTCTGACATTAGAGACTATTTTTCGGTGAATTAAGAAAAGTTTACTAAATCTAATTTCAGTTTTCGAAGAAACAAATCTACTTGAAAATGGCAAAAAATAAAAGTTCCTAATTCACTTATGGCAGCCGAATACGCTTGAACAATGGAATGTTTTATGTTTAAGAGAAAATTGTCGTTTGGTTTATTCTGGAAGGTTTTCGTTTGTATTGATATAAAAAAAACAAATTGATACTAGTCCTATAATTACTACAAACGCCCTCCAACAACAAACACGTTTGGCACTGTCTTATTTCGTTGATGTGACTGTAAACTTTGGTCAATATATTACTTTTGTATAACAACTAAACAGTTCTCTTTATAATGAAAATAAGTACAAAGTTTCAAATTGACATGACAACAAACTACCTTTAAATGCATCCCGCAATTGTGTTGTTGTGCTGTGGTCATTTTTGTATTCTTGTCTTTTTTTTTTTGCTGATGTGTTTTGTCTATATGCCATTTTTTTGGTTGTTGTTTACATATTTGTTTGTTGTTATAGTGGTAAGGGTTATAACACAATGTTTACTGCTGTACCCCTATTTTTGACATTTGTACCTATTATTTCTGTTTGTTTTGTTCACACATTGTTGTCAATATAATAGAATTTTATGCGACTGTCATACAAGTGAGAGGTTTAGCTAGCTATAAAACCAGGTTTAATCCAGCATTTTCTACATAAGGAAATGCCTGTGCAACACAGGAATATGACAGTTGTTCTTTATTCGTTTGGTGTGGTTTGGCTTTTGATTTTGCAATTTGATAGGGGAAGTAAAATCACAAAAATACTGAACTCCGGGGAAAATTCAAAACGGAAAGTCCTCAATCAAATGGCAAAATCAAATGATAAAACACATCAAACGAATGGACAACAACTGTCATATTCCTGACTTGGAACAGGCATTTTTAAATGTAGACTTTCCAATTTGAAAATTCCTTTGAGTTCGGTATCAATGTTATTTTATTTTTAAACAAATATGTTTCCTACTTCATTTGTACTTTAAGCCAAAACGTTTAGTAAACCTAAAACTAGACTGATGGACTATCTGACGGACGGACACGCACACCGGAAAACATAATGCCCCTATTGTCGACATAAAGAACAGCGACACATTAGCAAAATAATTCATCTTACTGGTTTGACGCTTTAAAGCAAAATAAGAGTTACGTTGCCAAGATAGAAGGTTTAAGTCATAGGTTACACATGTTACATAGCATGAGCCGTTTATCTTGTTGACTTATCCGGAAGCACTCATTTGACAATTCTTGCGATTCCTTGGGTTTTCTTGCGTCCTTGATTTGTCTCTTTTAGATAAATTTACGAGATTTAAACTAGTAAACTACTGTTGCCTTTGTTTAAGTCATGAAATGGCTATACTTTGCTTTCAAATCATTCAGAACATTTTTTTAGAATTTGGACGACACAGACATCTTCATAATGCATAACTTTTATAGCAGTTGTCCCCCCTTCTCTCTCTCTCTCTCTCTCTCTCTCTCTCTCTCTCTCTCTCTCTCTCTCTTCAAATATCAATAATATATTTTGCGTATTTCTACAGTTTATTGTTTCACATTTGTATTCTTGACTTGCATTTAGGCCTTAACAATACTTGTTGGTCGGTATGAAATCCTACGATGATAATTTGTTACTTACCAGTACATTTGCAACATGCCTTGCCGCACTTGCACATTGCACACAATTTTTCAACATGACCTCCTAATGAGGTACATGTATCTGATTCTGAGCAATATCCACCTTGTCTGGTACATTTAGAGTTCAGTACGCCTGTAATTTTATAAAAATAAGTATAGAGATAAATAAAAGCACGATATAGAAAGTCTACTTCCCTTCAAAACCTTTTTGAATATCTTAAACAGGTAGCCTATTATATTCCTGTTACATAGATCACTGTTTAAATTAGATAGTTAGGATAATGACTAGAAGCAAAACGACGAAAAAACAAACAACAATCAACAAATCACGTCACAGAAAAATAAGAATTGAACAACACGAACCCCAAAGTCATATACCTGAAAGCTCTCAATTACTTAACATTGATCAATAATATAGTCGAACACAAGCTCACAACTCCATGGCAAAAAGCCAAAAATGACCAAAATACTAAACAAAAGATAGAAACCGAAACTAAGCACCACGAACCCTACCAAACACCTGGTGATCTCATGTTCTCTAGGAAGGTGGGCTAGTCCTACCCACATGTGGCATCCGTCGTGTTGCTCATGTAAGTACAAATTATGTGATCTCGCATCCGAGAAAAGAGGATGGGATTGTGTTACAACAATTAGTACATATATAGATTGTAAATTAATTTTTGAAACACAGAACAAGACTTTTCTTCCTATTTAATTAAGAATTTGGCTTAAAATGACCTGCTTATTATCTTTCAGAAAAATACTGAAAATCTATCAAAATTGCAGTTTTGATCCATATATTTTTTAACGGAACCCACTTTCTATAAAAAGAAGATGGCAGTCTTACAAATTGGCAGTATATAGTGCACCTATGTGAAACATTTAACAAAATGTATTTCATAATTTCTTTAGAAAACCACGACATACTTAACAGAAGCAAATCATAGTAGTTGTGTTCATAATTGATTTTCGAAACCACAAATTGAGGTACGTAGCAACCTCTACTTACATAACCATTCACTTTTAAAATTCGTTTATCATTATTGAAAATGCATTCGAAATAAACACTTACATTTGATCATAGTTATTGCCGCAACCAAAACGAGCAGAGCAGTTTTTCCCATCCTAGCTATCTAAAATATTATTCAGAGAATGCCTGAAACGACAATGGTGATTGCTTAAATATCTAAATGAGTCGGATCAATGGACCACTAAAGAATTTATGATGCCTTATGGGAGTTTTATTGCTTTGGATTTTTGATTGGTCCTTCCGTGATTAACGAGGGAGTTGCATAATGATGATGGATGTGTTTTACGTCCTTGAAAACCAAAGGAAAAAAACGTGGGTGTATCTCTACTAAACAAAACAGAAATATTACATGTAAAAATACTTCAAATAGCAACTTATTAATGTTATGTTTTAAAATAATTGTTTATGATGTTAAAATTGTTTTCGTCTTTAAGCAACATATGTTGGTTCTAAAAATAACAAAATATCAAATATCAGTCTAGGTTATTTTACAGATGCATATATGGTAAAGTAAACGTTTTACACTTAATCGTATGATAGTTATCATATTACATTGAAATAAATAAGTGTCCCTATGGTGGACAGTATATTTCTTGCAAATATGTTTTCATATACTTTCCAAATTTATTTCTTAATATTTGATGCACGAAATATAAAGAACCAGTCTTAATCATATGTTTTTAACGGTAGAAAATGACAAAATGTCACTTGATTCCTATTTAGATAAAAAGTAAAATAACAAAAATACCGAACTCCAAGGAAAATTCATAACAAAAAGTCCCCAAATAGCAAAATAAAAAGCTATAACACATCAAACGAATGGAAAACAACTGTCATAATCCTGACTTGGTACAGGCATTTCCTGATGTAGAAAAATTGTGGTTTAAACCTTGTTTTATAGCTAGCTAAACCTCTCACTTGTATGACAGTCGCATAGCATTCCAATAAAAACAAATAACTATTTCAACAGAGGAAAAACAAATTGGCATAAAAACACTCTATAGACAAAGTACATAAGCAAAAATGAAAGACAAGAATACAAAATTGACCATTGCATAATAACACAATGGCGGGATGTATAAACACCGAGCCACGCAAATAGTATATCACCAAACATGGACTTAACGTTAAAGGTTAAAAATATACAAGGACATATACAAAGACCACTATAAGACGTAATTAAGATGATAAACAACGTCACTTCCTAGAATCTATACTTTCAGACCATCATGTATTATTTGTGAAGTTGATACGGAATATTTATCAACAAGGTATAGATATTTTTCAATGAACTTTTTTTTTTAGAAAAATAACGAGACGTTCTTTGACATAACCTTGGCTCATCAACTTTACAGACAGACTATTTAGTTTCAAAAAGGAGGTATTTTTTTTCTGAGTAAGAAAGTTTTTCAACGCTATCAACCAAACATATTATTTTTCGAAATTAGCACTATTAAATATGAAAATCAGGAATCAGAACATTATTTTGTTATCTGCCTGACCACAACATATTTTTAGTATATCACCAAAAATTTACTTCACATTAAAGGTTAGAAATATACAAGGACATATGAAAAGACCGCTATAACACGTAATTAAGATGATAAACAACGTCAATACCTAGAATCAGTACTTCAAGACCATCCTGTATTAATTGTGAAGTTGATACGGAATATTTATCAACAAGGTATAGATATTTTTCAATAGACTTTTTCAGAAAAAAGGACGAGACGTTCTTTGACAAACCTTGGCTCATCAACTTTCTTCGCAGATACTGGTAACGTTTTGTAAAGTCTGAATAGCAGCTCCAAGATCTTGAATACCGAATCTGTTTGGAAATGTATATCCCATATGATGAACGAAGTTGGTATATTGCTGTTAATGTGTGGGAAATTTATAATTTCAAAATCAGAATCGTCTCGTTTATCATAGATTCTGGTAATGAGGCAGAGGAAGCCACGTTTTCTTAAATTTCTAGTTCTAGGGGATATATTAATTGAATAAAATTGAGAATGGAAATGTGGAATGTGTCAAAGAGATAACAACCCGACCATAGAACAGACAACAGCAGAAGGTCACCAACAGGTCTTCAATGCAGCGAGAAATTCCCGCACCCGGAGGCGTCCTTCAACCCAATCAGAAAAGTTTGGATTGTGTATGGAAAGAACATCATCAAATTGAATATATCTGAATGTGAAATAAAATTATCTGGCTTCTTTGATCTTCTTGTTTTTGACAATCATTTGAAGGAACTCCGACTGATATGTAAATAAAAAGAGGTCGGAAAGGAGAGGCACACACATGTCTGATTAGTTTTGCTATTTGCATATCACATTTCGAAAATAATTTAGAAATAATTTAGAGTAAGTAATACGCCCATTTCTGCGATGAAAAAAAAAATTCATGTACTCGCAAAGCGTTTTGTGTATTTGGAGTTTTAAATTTGTTTTTTTTTGATGTTTTAGATAAACTATGTGATTTTGATGGTTCTCTTAATTCGGGTGACAGTTTTGACTTTTCCATTCTTTATACTAAACTTATACACAATGTTTTCAAACAAAAGTTTTCCAGATTAATTAAATGCTCGTTTGATAACTCTGAGTGCAAATTTATTTGCTGCAACTCATATAAAGCTTTTTTCTCAAATGAGAAAGGTTAATATACTAGATATACTTACTGGAGGTGTGATGAGATTAATAGAGCCGTAAATTGTCTCCTTGACAACATTTTTGTACGTTTCGGCAATAAAGTTTATCGACAGATTGTAGGTATTTCTATGGGAACCATTTGTGTCCGTTTAATAGCAGATTCGTTCCTGTACTATTATGAATGACAGTTTATGACCAAACTCAGTAAAGACCCGTCTAAATTCCATTTATTTAAAAATTCAACAACACTTACCGTTATCTTGATGATATTTGTTTGTTAAATAATCAGGAATTCTCTAAATATACTGCCGAAAGTTACCCAAAGGAACTTACTTTAAATAAATCAAATAACTATCCTTTCCTAGATTTAGACATTTTCAGTTTTACACCAGAAACTCTACACAAAAATTTACGACAAAAAAGATGATTTTTCGTTCCAAATTGTTAATTTTCCTTTATTGGACGGTAATGTTTCTTTGACATCGTCTTACGGTGTTCATTATCCCAACTCGTTCGCTTTGCCCGTGTCTGTAGTGACGTTTTGGATTTCAATGAGCGTAATATATGTATAAGTGGTAAATCATGTAGTCAGGAATTTTGTTACCACAAATTACTTAAAACCTTTCCTTAATTCTTCCAAAGATACAAAGATTGGTTTGCAAATTAGATCTTTGAATAATGTTTTATTGGTATAGATATTGATCTTGTTATCAAAAAATTAAAACCGTAGGGGCCGTCTTAAATTTGCAGTGAGGTGAGAGTTTTTTTACTCCGTGTTGAAGGCCTCACTGTGACTTTGAGATGAAGAACAGCAATAAAAGCGCTTTTCCTTTGTTTTTTGTGGGTGTTTTTTTTTTTTTTTTGGCTGTGCATGTACTGATTTTGTGTCATGAATGGATACCCCATATCCTTCGTTTTTCTATCAAATATTTTTGTTATACACATATGCACTTTCACGGTGCTAAAATATGTCAATACCTATATTTTGGCATTTCACAAGGTCATGTTTTTCTCTGACTGTTAATTGTTAATGACGTCTTTACTCTAAGTCCATTGTATGTTAGTTATGTTCTGACAGTAACTGCGAGTACTCTCGGATCTGTATTTTGTGTCTGTGTTGTTGTTCGGGATGTATAAATACCCTGCAACGTCCGGTCAGTGTTTTTGTTAAATGTTTTTCTGCTTTGTATCGATCTGATGAGTTTAGCCCTTTTCAACTGATTTTTATAGTTTGTTCTTATGTTGTGATGTAACACCACTATCCCAGGTTAGGGGAGGGTAGAGCGCTCACAAACATGTTCAACCCCGCCACATTCTTAATGTGTCTGTCCCAATTCAGGAGCCTGTAGTTCAGGTGTTCTTGTTGGTTCATGTCTGTGATATTTGTTTTTCGTAAATTGTTTTCTTATAAATTAGGCCGTTAGTTTTCTTAATTGAATGGCTTCATATTTTTCAAGTCAAAGCCTTTTATAGCCGTCTATACGGTATGGATTTTTTCTCATTATTAAAGGCTGTACGGTTGCTATAATTGCTTACATCCTCTTCATTTAACTTTGGTGGATAGTTGTCTCATTAACAATCATACCACATCTCCTTATTTTTATATTAATCATTGTTAATTCCATTGAAAAACAAAAACAAACAATTTGCATTGTTACCGAAAATCCAACATAAATTGTCGTCTTATCTATATATTTAAGCATGATATTTTTAATTTCTCTGTTTAACTATGAATTAAAATAATCGCTATTAATATTCATGACGACCTTACATATCATACATGTACTCGTACCTTAGTTTATAAACCATATATGGATCGGGAGCTAACCTTCTTAATAGATAAGTGCAATTTAAGTCCTAAGTATAATATACCAGATTTTAATAAATGTATGTATGCTGTTTATAATCGAGATCATTCGACATGTTGTTTAATTGGTACAAAATATATTTCCAAATTTTGGAAAAAATAGAATGTAGAATCTTTTCTTTCTGAAAATCAATTATATTAAAATTTGGACCAATTTGAAATTACTGAATGATCTTTCATTTGTGTAATGACCGTTTTCTTGGGCATCTAAAAAGTGTACACCAAATTCATTTCTTGATCTTCGAACTTCCTATATTAAAAAAGAAAAGCGAAGAAGTTATTTCCCATCATTTTTTTTTCAGAGGCAGAAGAATTTTCTTCAAGCAAACCGAATGGTTTTTAAACTTTTTTTTAAAGTGATTTTAAGTTTTTTCAAACGAGCGAAAAAAGATTTTGCACATTGTTTGTTGTTATATTCAAATTCTATAACCTCTTACTTAACATTATCCTACATTTCTTCGAATTATTTTCTGACACATGAATTTAACATCTTTATATTATGTGCAGTGAGATACCCATGCAGTCCCTGATTTACATTAAACATATAGTGACCAGTATGTAATGTGTGTACGTGCTTGTACTACAATAGTAGCAGATCCTAATATT